GGACTGGTAGTCTATGACAAACCTCTCGACCTGCCAGTCCTCGCACCGGACTCTCTCGACGTCTATGTCGTGATACAGGTGTGGATTAGTGTCGACTTCAGTCAAAAACTTTTGCCGTATTTCCGCGACTATTGTTTGGTTTGATATATCAGTCAATCCGTGTATGTCTGCACTCATGGCTTAACACAAAGTTTAATACAATTATAGCACAATATTATATATTAATTAATTGTATGAATCAATGTAACAACAATTGAATTTGAGGTATTTAGTGATTTATATGAAAACAAAATGAAAACAATAAACAGCAACAATTATCCTAGTAACGATATCTAAATATAATAATTCAGTGTAATCTACAGTAACTAGTTTGATATCACTGTTTAATCTACAAGGTTATAGATATGATATACTGGTTAATGACTAAAATAAATTGAAATACACACTTCATTATATAAATATAACACAAAAATTAAAACAATTTAAAATAATTATATTAATGTTAGTGATACACATATAATTTGTTTGGGAAATTAAAACTATAATTAAATTTATTTCCCATATAATTAGTTCATTTCCTTAAGGAAATTATTGCAACTGTTTTATAACACAAAATTGTTCAGATCATTTTACGTTAGTTCATTGCCGTGTATAATGAGCAGGATATTTGTTTTAAATAAGTTATTTTATAGACCGTTCTCAGAATCATAGCCAACACGTGTAGTAAACATTATCATTAAAAATCTCACTAATATTTGAATGACTCAATAATAATATTGTTTGATTTTAGTAAATGTTTATATGTATAAATTATACTGTATAATACTGTATTTCATTACAAATAACAATTGGTTTAAACACCTGTTGTAAATATGGTTTTATATAATTTTATTTATTTATGATATTAAATATTTATCGTTAAAAATTTAATTTAATTTTCAAAAAGTAAATATATAGTGTAAATATGAGCTAAACTTTTTGTATAAAGCTGTTAAAAAGTTATATTTTTTTAATGATAATTATAATTAGGAATTCAAGTTATGTATAGAAACAGTCGCTAATTAATTATAGATTATATTTATAAAATCAATTCTTACACAATATTTATTTTATTATTTTGCGATGATATAATAATAAGCTGTATAAAACATAACAATAAAATCATATTTTATTATTCCTATCAAACAAATCCTTGTTGATAATATTTTGTTTTTTTACTTTTGTAAATGTGCACAGCATAAATATAATTTGCAATATAAGAACTTGTTACATTATTATTAGGTTACTAATATGTATAGTAAAAAGGACTGGTCATGATAAGCACCAAGGTATTTTATTTTCTACAAGATTTCTCAGATTGATGTAGGACATTGAAAGAAAGACAAATATGAAAATAATTTATTAAAATAAAATAAAATACTTTTATTGCAGCTTTGCCAAACATTTTGAACCAATTGAATGAAGTGTACAATACGAAATGTACAGGACAGTGTACAAATGTCCTAATATGATATATATTAAATAATTCTTGGTACTTTAGTTTATCTTGTTGAAAAATGTTTATCTAATAGTACTAACGACTTAACAATTAATATCAATGTCACTTTTTGATATTTTAATGCTTGCAGTAGTAAACAGTTATTATATTGTGAGTAAACTATATAAATAATTCGAGTATCATAGATTGTCATAATTTATAATTCGTGGAATTCACTGTATATAATAGTACTTTTAATCTGATAAATAAAATAAAATGTGCAAAGTTAAATGAAAAATCCCATTAAACTTATTATTTTGTACCACTAACGAAGTCGCAGATAATTAAAATAGATTATATAATTTCTATTTAAGCAAGCGACGTTTATATAATAAACTAATTAATAGAATCGATACTACTATTTTAAGTTATAAAAATATAAATGATGTTGGTCAAAGTAGCATTAACTTTTATACTAACAGTTCACTACATGTATTGCACTGAAAATGTGGACCAATATATTGAATATATTAATAGCTTGAACACTACGTGGAAGGTATGTTCAATATATACAAAATTATTTGGGATACCTTAATTATGTTTTAAATATATACATATTCTAAATGAATAATAATAGGCTGGCAAAAATTTTGAAAATGGTTTCAGACCTGTACTAGGTGTTTTACCGCGTACTACACCTATGGTCTCTGACGCGCACCCTATTTATGACACCAATATCGAGATACCGGAGTCCTTTGACTCACTTAAACAGTGGTCCGATTGTATTACTATCAAACAAATACGTGACCAGGGATGTTGTGGTACGTACAAAATTAGCATTCACTAATTTAATCTAAAAACACCAGGTAACTCCATATGTATGATACATAATTAATTATGCTGATTTTATTTAAATTTAAATGATTAATAAATTAGGCTAGGTGTACTTTGTTAAATTTATTAATGAAACATCAATCTATCAATACGAACAACTACCAGGATCGTGTTTCGCATTTGGTACGACCGGGATGATATCCGACCGCATATGCATCCTATCAAAGGGCAAACAACAGGTAGAGGTGTCTGCCGAGGAGGCACTGGCGTGTAGTATAGGTGGCACCTGTAAGTACGGCGGTAGGCCTGACGAGGTGTACCACTACTACATTGAAAATGGTCTGGTGTCTGGCGGACCGGTAGGCGCTAAGACGGGGTGTCAGCCCTATACCATCAACCCGGGCAACCCTTGCGTAGAGAGCGCGCCCACCCCTGAATGTCCCAAAGCATGTATACCCGGCTATAATCGTACGTTCACTCTGGACAAGCATTTTGGCAAATCGTGGCATAAGGTTCCCGTGTTTTACGCCGAGCTTGATATCATGACATACGGGCCCATTGTGGCTGAATTTGACGTACGTATAAATTGTCAACATGGTCAAATAGTGTATTATCTATTAGATCTCATATTATTAAGATGGGAGTATTCTGTATATGACAATTATGTATTTTATTTAATTAGTCTATTAGTGTAGACTAGTTTGAATGATTGAAAGTACGTGGATGAAGCAATGAGATAATTCTGATTTTATATATTAATTACAATTAATGCTCGATATGATTAATTTAAATACAAATCAACATTATATAAATAGCCGGCATAAATAATATGTGACTGAAATATATTATGCCAATTATTTTACCATAGTATGATTATGTTTGAGCCAGAACACAATCATATGGTTTAGATCATTATGATTATAAACGATGATGCTGATTATAGAGTTGCATAGATCATTGTTACCGCACGCAATTGCTAATAACTAAATTGAGTTCAATTTGTCTAGGTGTACGATGACTTTTATCATTATAAATCTGGCGTTTACGATCCCCTAATCACCGCAAAATTTGTGGGTAGGCATCTTGCTAAAGTAGTGGGCTGGGGCGTGGAAAATGGTGCAAGGTTCTGGTTGGCGGCTAACTCATGGGGGACAGTATTTGGCGAGCAAGGTTATTTTAAAATTAAACGCGGCGATTCTGTAGCCGCATTTGAAGAGGCAATGTCTGCTGTATTACCTAAATTATAATGTAGTCAAAAAAATGTAGTATGATATAAATACGCTTAATCACTGTTCACCGCGCATAATTTTGTTTAATTATTAAATATAATTTTTTTCACTTGTATTAGGACTGCATTAAATAAATCTTAATAATACTTTACACCGAATAAGTCTAACCTTTATAATAACAAAGGTTTTAATGTTTTGACATTTTGTGTTTTATATTAGGTTTCGCACAAAGTTTTGCGAGGTAGATTTTGCAGCTTAAAAATTAAATTCTCAATAACCAATATTGGTATCAAAAATATTTTTGAACCT